GAATCCCTAGTCGGGATAGTGTAGTTTCTTGTTGATCCCTTGCCGGGACTCTTGGTATGGTTATTGTTAAAGGTATATAAATATATGTGGATCGGGTTGCACGCCGCAACAATGTTATATTGGATCGGGTTGCACGCCGCAACAATGTTATATTGGATCGGGTTGCACGCCGCAACAATATTATATTGGATCGGGTTGCACGTCGCAATAATGTTGTATGTGGATTGGTTGCACGCCGCAACAATGTTATATTGGATCGTGTTGCACGTCGCAATAGTGATATAAATGGATTGGGTTGCACTCCGTAACAATGTTAAATGATAGGGATCGGGTTGCGCGCCACAACAGTGTTATTATTGTTTTGTTGTTATAAATCTTGGATTGTTCTCTCATGTTTCTCTTAAGTTTCTGCTGCAGTTGGCTTTTCCCCCATAGCATGTACCCCCTCCCATGTTAATTGTTTATTTCTGTTTATTTTCCGTTGTATATTATATAACTGCACAGGTTTATCTGAGTCTGATCCTAACCTCGTCACTACCTCGTCGTGGTTAGGCCAGACACTTACCAGCACATGGGGTCGGTTGTGCTGATGCTACACTCTGCATTATGTGCAGATCCCGAAGCAGCTTTTGGACAGTAGCACTTGGGGAGCCTGCCTTCAGTCCAGCCAGAGAATCTCGAGGTAGTCCTGCAGGCGTCCGCAGGCCCGGCGTTCTCTTCTACTTTATTATGTACTCTGTTTTCATTAGACTTCGAGACAGATTGTATTTCTTTCAGACATTTGTATGTAGTACTCATAGACAGTCCGTGAATATTATGACACCAGATTCCGGGTAGAGGAGTATATTGACATCGTAGTACTGGCTTAGTTATTTTTTTATTTTAGCTGTTTAAGTCTTCCGCTTGTTCTGTTTATCGTTGATACTTAAGTATTGATTACCTGTTAATTCAAATTGTTAAAAAGGATTAAAATGAAAGAGTTAGTAATTCCAACATTTCGCCGCTTGCCTAGCTTCTATGAGTAGGCGCCATCACGACTTCCGAGGGTGGGAAATCCGGGTCGTGACATTACTCCATCATCTTGTGTTTTTTTTAAATTAGACTAGGAGTGGAAAACGTGCGGGCCGGATCGGATCGGATATAGTTCGGATTGAAATCGGGTAATGAAAAACCGGATCAATTATCCGACCCGATCCATATTTAATTCGGATAAAAAATGGATTAACCGGCGGATAATATGGGCAACCATATTATCCATAAATTCTTGCATATGATCACTTTTGGGAGATTCTTAGTTGCCCTAACTTGAGAACCCCCAATTTGAGGCTCTACAAATGTAAAAGTTAGACCCATTGGTTATCCATTTTCTAAATGAATAATATGGTTCTTATTCATATTTGACCCGTTTTTAAAAAGTTCATTATCCAACCTATTTTTTCAGTGGATAATATGGTTGATTAACTGTTTTCTTTTAACCATTTTGCCATCCCTAAATTAGACCGATGGACATGTATGTTGAATGGGAATTAGGAAATTGCCAGTGCTACATCTACATTCAAATGGCTTAAATAATATAAACAGCTAGTGCAGACAATGGTGCTGCATTTGATTATACATGACATGTGTCACATGGATGTATAAACAGCTAGTGCAGGCAATCTTGCTGCATCCGATTCAATATATATGAAAAATATAAGAGGGGGCAAATTGTTCCCATTTTGAACTTTAGTCGATAATATAAAGAGTAAGTCATCTAACTACTATTTTCAGATAAGAACGGTTAAGTAAAAAGGAAAATAAATGATCCCAGAAAATCTTATATTAGTTCGGCAAGCCTACCTCCAGTTCCTTACGTTATGCAGAGCCGGTTCTAGTGTCAAGCAACTAAAGCATATGCTTTATGCCCCAATTTTGGGTGCGCTTTTTCACAAACAATAGGCTAATTAGTTATTGCTTCTTTTTGGAAAATAATGAGTACTTTTAAGAAGCATATTTTTTTAAAAAAAAAATTAACTTAAACAGCCATCCATCTAACCACTTAAACTAAAAATAACCACTTATATTTTTTCCTCATGTTTCAAAATGAAGTTGCTGAGTAGTCAAAGATATTTTGGAATCAAGTCATTGATTTTCTTGAATCAGATTCTCTTATCGTTATTTTTATCTAATATTTTTGTTATTTCTGTCAGTTATAGATTATCTTTTTAATATTTTATTAAAATTTAAATATGTCAACTAAAAATATGAATGCGAGTGTTCAAAACGCAGAAAAAAATCATACAGGCCCAAAAAGAATTATTAGAAAAAATTAATTAAGAAAAATGAATAATAATTTTTTATATAAAAATGTTAGAAAAATAGCCTCCAGAAAAGTGTGTGTATATATATATAAAAAAAATTATTTTAGAAAGGTATTTAAGGTCTCCCATCAAATATTGGCTTTAGGCCACAAATATTATTGAGCCGTCCATGATGTTACATGGGAGTTATATCGGGAGCATATTGAGTTTTGTGTTTGAGTACAACTTTGGATGATTTTTCTAGGGCACCACCAAATAGTTGATTTTCGCTCGGTTACCAATAATGACCTTATTTATTTTTACTTGTTCACCAAATAAACGATAGCTAAAACAACTCTTCATTTCCTTTTTCTCACTTTTCTTTAGGCACATTGTTAATACCCACAAATGGGGAGAAAAATAAGTTAGAAAGAATTAGGGCTTATTGAACTGGAAGAGAAAATGAGCTCTACATTATGAACAAAAACAGGAAACCCAAGGGAGAAATTTAAAAATATCTAGATTTACTAGTGGTCATTCGAAAATAGCTACAGTTTCAAAAGTAATCGAAATTTAGCCACTTTCATGTAAAAATAAATCTGAACAAAAACACTGTTCAAAATCCGAAAAATCCTCCAGTATATTATACTGAAGTTCTAGCATATTATACTGGAAACTCCAGTATAATATACTGGAGTTTCAGTATAACCTACCGGTCCAGCATAATGGACTGGAAATTGGAGAACCGGTGCTCCAATCTCTAGTATATTATACTGGAACTTTCTGCGTGTTGGAGTTCTATCATAATATACTGGAAGTTTATGCACAGGTGCACCGATTTCTAGTAGCTGGAACTTTTCGTGTTGCAGCAAAATAATGGCTATTTTTCATTGATTTTGCAAATACTAGATATTTTTGAATAACTAGTCTGAAAACTGGCTAGCCCGTGCTATTTTTACGAAACCCAAACCTATACAACTGACCCAAAGCTATATACAAATTTTCTGGGTCCTTTCTATTCATAGAGATCCGGAAACCCAAACTTATACAACCGACCCAAAGCTACATCCGACCCAATTAATACTAACTTTACATTAGCTTCGGATACAAATAAATAGTGCATATGACACCAGGTAACAACTTTTAAGCATGTTGTTTAAAATATATTCATAGTTTACAATGTATTTGAATATTAGCAAGTTTCGCTCAAACTTCAATACACGACATCCTAGAGTTTAAACCTTAAAGTTCAAACTTCAGGACATCGTGTCCTAAAGTTCAAAAATTATGTCTATAAGTTCGAATAATATGTCCTGAATTTTAAATTAGTAGTTCAAAAATTTCAAAACACTTAGTCCCGAATTTTAAATTAGTAGCTCAAAAATTCAGGACACTAAGTCCTGAATTTGGACATAGTCCTGAAATTTGGGAAAACTCTCTCTCTCTCTCTTCGATAACGGTAATATCTCCACCTTCCCTTCTCTTCAACTTCTCCGGAAAATCCTCCGGCAAACCACAGAGCCGATGACACTCCCCAGGTGAGTACTCGTCTCCTTTCTCTCTCCTAGCGTCCTTCTCTTTCTCTCTCCTTTTTTCCTCCTTTCTCTCTCCTCGCGCCCTCTCTTTCTTCCTCTTTCTTTCTTTCTTTTAACCTTAGCAGCAGCTAGGCCGGCGGCCGGCGACTCACCGGCGCCATCTCATCTTCCTACTACTGTTCCGTTCCAACCAAACCACCCTCCTCTGTGTTTCACTTTCTTCAAACCTTTCCTCGCCATACTACTCTGTCTCGGACTGGCA